CCATAGTCTTATCAAATTACTCCCAGTTAGAAGTACTCCTAAAAACTCTATGCTTATATTGAAGTGAGGCGCAGCTTCAATAAGTCAGTATGATCCCATTATCTGTTGGTTTTTCATACCAATTGCAGGTTACACCACTATCCTGCGACACATTTCTGTTCAAATCCAGGAACGGCAAGTTCTCCTCTGAATTAATTTCCTCTAGATTTAACTGAAGATTTGAATGAAGAGAATTGGCGGCATCGAGAACACAAATCTGCTCACCTTGAAATGTTCTATCAATGTCATCGAGTTATCTGAGGAACAATTTTACTTGTGGAGGATCCTTCTGCCTCGTTTATCCGCCGCAGCAGCTTTCACAAAACCAGACTATCTCGGTCATTGATGCGTATACATCATAGGAATTTTTTCCGCATTTTAGGTGATACCTGTTTATTGCATTAAACTCTGTGATCTATAAGCTGCTTTCCTGCTGCAACATGGGCACAAACAACTTTTGTCATTTATTGGCTGTACCTCCGCTCCCGACGGTTTTTCTTGTTTTAGAGCAAACTTGTACTCTTTTATCCATAGATTTGCAAAAATTTCAGCGAGGGAAGCGGCCATTGCTAGACCTTTAATATGCACATACCATGAATCATTACACTTGAAATATACTTTGCTGACCGCCATATTCAAAAGCCTTCTCATGGTTGCTCTTTGAATAAAGGAGGAGACTCCTGACTGTACAGCTTCTGTAGCGCAATTTCAATTGCTTTTTTCAGGGGAGCATTAGTGTCTAAACTTTTCCTATCAAGAATATATATGGCTTCACATCATCCAGATCTAGAGCAATGTTTTCAAATGTTTTTCTGGCATTTTTAGTATTGGTTTCTTTTATGGCTCTATCTATGGTGTCAAAAAACTTTGCAAGCATTTTGTTTAAATTCTGATACGAGTTGCCCGGAAGTGTTAGTACTGGTCGAAGGGTGTCTCAGCCTTGTGTACCTTAGATAAATCGCACAAACGGGTGGGTTGCCCCCTGCTGACCTCATCTTTGAATAGAATTGATCACTTAGCTCGTCTATTTTGTTTTTGGCAAGTAATTCTGTGTTAAGTTCTCAATTTATTAAGTTGTTAAGTTGTTTGTCCTTCTCAACTTCCAGCATCACCTCATCAGTGGTTGACTCTTTTCAGAAACTGAGCTGATTGCAACAAGATTTTCAGGTTGGATCCTTTAAGGAAAGAACTGAAAGTAGTTTATTTCGAGTGTTATATAATATCTAGCTCCCATAGTAGACCCGAAAAACGCTAACTTTGTCGAAAAATAATACTAAAAAACTACTTAACAATCAGCAGGGTTAAAACAAGTCAATGAGAACGAGAACATTGTTGAGTTAGTAACTCTTAATGAGTCTAGCTTATTAACTGTGCGACTACTAAAGAAACAAGGAAAGTCAGTTTTGGTGCAAGTACAAAAAGCGCCGACTACAAAAATGCAATCTTAAAATAATGGGAAGATCTGAATGAAAGCATTTTCGATAGCAAAACCAAATAAGGTATGTTTGCAGACGGTGAGAAACACGTAGAATTATGGTATCTGACGTCCGCTAGTCGTCTATAGGAATTGTACACAGGCGTTTTTTGCCGCTCTTGGTGAGCCTTGGAGAAAAATCTTCTTCTTCTTCTTCTTCTGTATAAGGCGTAGCCATGATGATCAGCGAACGCTCAAGCAACGAACCCTCCGATCCGAGCAGGGGCTCGAGTTAAGAGAGTTGCTTGTCTGAAGGCTCTGGGACCAAAAACAATTAAGAAAACATTTTTTTAAGATGGGAAGACCCAACAACGCTTGCTTTTGATTTGACTGTTAACCCATTTTTGCGGTGAAGATAAAATTGTTTTCAGGTTATGATGAAGTTGGTGTAAGCCTGTCGAAATGCAGCGCGCAGCTTTGTCGTCTGGAGGCGCAGTGACGCGCCTTCTCAGGAAAGGCACGTTTTCGTGTCACAATGTGAATCTTAGTCTTTCCAATCAAAGACTAACTACTACAATTCTGTCTATGAAAAGGTGATTTGAGTGAAATGCCCATCTTTTAATAGAAATTGAGTTTTAAAAAATCGTTAAAAGTTACAAGTTATAGTTTAACAACGCTGTGCAATAAATTGTAACAATATTTATTTTTTGTTCTCGATCTGTCAATCCTTTTAATTGATAGATGTTTTTTGTTTTTAGATTGAAATCCAGTCTCACTCAAGAACCATTTTTAAGTGGAAATAGCAGCAACTATGTTGAAGAGATGTACTATTCTTGGCTTGTTGACCCAAAAAGTGTTCATGCATCATGGAACGCTTACTTCACAAATTTGAAGAATGACCAGCCTTGTTAGTATTGTTTCATTTATATTTTGATTGTAAATGTTTTATATTTGACCTCGAGTTTTTTAGCTGCCTATATGTCTCCCCCTGAGCTGGAAACGAGTCTTCGATCGTATCAAGAGGGTTCTCAAGTTGTTAGTAGTCAGACTGTGCCTGATGAATACATTGCTGATAATATCAAAGTACAGCAATTGATCGCAGCCTACAGGTCTCTGGGACATACTACGGCTAATTTGGATCCATTGGGTATAAACGACGCAGATTTAGATTCGAATCTACACAAAACCCTATCTGTGGAACACTACCGATTCAATGATCCAAATGTGACTGTGAAAATACCACCGGGTACTCTTTTTTCCGGCAAAGGTAAGTCTATGAGATCACTATACGATTTTCATTTCGGAATCCTATACGTTTTTCCTTATATTCATTATCATTTTTACTGAACTTATCTGAAGCTCAACGTTTCATCGAACATATTCAAGCCCGGACAAAAACCTCTTGATCTTAGATTCATTTTTACATGTGATAATCAAAGTAACCTAAAATTGATTTGTTCAGAATCTGTCTAAGTTTTTGCAGAACCTGTTTAAGTTTGCACCAACTGAAGTATCAATCCAAAAATAAAAGACTGGCAAAATCTTTAAACTTGTTATGCTATTGCTATTTCTTTTTTTGCCATTTTTCATTTTTAAAGAGTTGATGAATGTAGTGAAGACTATAGGTCGAGGAAAAGTGACACTTAAATTTGTCCTTAAAGGTTTGGTTTTTCGCTGCTTGATTTTTGGTTTCTTTTCGATTTCAGTACATTTGCTTTGTTAAGAGGAAGGCAAGCTCCACAATCAAGTACAAAGGTCACGGATCGATTTCTAATTTTGAAAGTGAATTTAATTTTTCACATCTCCCAGTTGAATAGAAAATCTTTCTTTTTTTAGCTCATTTCTGGAAAAGGCAAACTCCACTATCGAAAAGCAGAAGTGTAAAGGCACGAAAAACGTGATCGATTTCTAGTTTCGATAGTGGATTTTAATTGTCGAATTTTCCAGTGAAGTTTTTTTTTCAAATTATTGATAGTTTTTTCAAATCTGGTTAGTTTTATAGAAAAAGTGTCAATCATAAATTTCTCTAGAAATTCAGAGAGCTTCAAGACCTTATTTTCTTTGAAATTCGAAAGTTCAAGTTTTTTTTTTAAAAAAGTCAGTTTTTTCTATATCCTAGCGATCATTACACTTGCGAAGCAAAGTGTATTAGTACAAACTTCCTTTTAGGGCACTTTGACAGCTTTTTGATAGCATGCGCTATGAGATTCCAATAGGTATAAGTTAACACAATTGGTGCAAACAAATCAAACGAAAAAAGTGATTTGTTTCAAACAACATATTAATAATGAGAACTCGATTTCAGAAAATTTCTAGCTCAATATATCGCAGTTTTTTTTGAAATGCGTAATTTATACATAATATAGCATTATGCTTTGCGATTTATTACATGCAAAGTTAATGAGGATGCCTTCAGTTTGTTATATTCCAAATTATTACTTACAAAATTGAGTCTGTTTTTAATTGGTGCCACTTTTGCTGAATGACATTGGCAATTTATTAGCATATGTAGCTGTTTTATTCGTGACTAGTTTTTGTCGGTTGTTAAGCGTGAGACTCAAAGTCTCTTGATTGTATTAGGTCGGATATTCGAATCCTACACGTAGCCATGTTTTTGCTAATTCGAGGCTTATTTCTACTATTTCGTATTTCACGTGATAGAACCGCTTTTTGGTCGTGTTCACACAAATGTTTGCGAAGCGCAGCTTCGCCCCTGTGTAGACGATTAGTCTCTTTTTTTTACTCTAATATTTTGTACTCTTATAATTTATTTTTATAGAGAAACAACTAAGGTTTTGGTTTGGGCAAAGTCCAATTTTTGAAATCACATTTTTCGTACCGCATTAGTATAGCAAATTCATTCAATGTCAAAGACATACCTCCAGCTTTAGATGGGCCCCTAGTTGTTTTTAATCTAGACATGCGAGTTTTTAGGTTCACCTAGTTTTTTCAACATTTAATTTTTGCGATACAACACAAGCAGAAAAAATGTAAGTCGAAAAAAATTCAAGTGTTGAAAAAAAACTAGGGAACCAACTTTTTTTTAAATGTTTGTGTTGTATCGCAAGTGGTGCCAAGCTCCGCTTTCTCTCTCTGTGTAATAATAATATTAAAGTTTTAAATTTCGTTCACGCTCAATTTTTTTTAAATTTTTTTGCGATTTGACTTGTGATTTCTTTTTAATTTCAGTGCATGCATTTCCATTTTTAAAAGGAGGGCAAACTCCAATATCGAACAGCAAAAGTGTAAAAGTCACATAAAACGTGATCGACTTCTAGTTTCGAAAGTGGAATTTAATTATCATATTTCCCAGCGAAATAAAAGTTTCATTTCTTGATCCAGTTTTCTCAAAATGAAAAGTGACACTTAAAAATGTCCTTAAAGGTTTGGTTTTTCGCTGCTTGATTTTTGGTTTCTTTTCGATTTCAGTACATTTGCTTTGTTAAGAGGAAGGCAAGCTCCACAATCAAGTACAAAGGTCACGGATCGATTTCTAATTTTGAAAGTGAATTTTATTTTTCACATCTCCCAGTTGAATAAAAAATGTTTCTTTTTTCAGCTCATTTCTGGAAAAGGCAAACTCCACTATCGATAGTGGATTTTAAGTATCGAATTTTCCAGTGAAGTTTTTTTTTCAAATTATTGATAGTTTTTTCAAATTGGGTTAGTTTTATCGAAAAAGTGTCAATCATAAATTTCTCTAGAAATTCAGTGAGCTTCAAGACCTTATTTTCTTTGAAATTCGAAAGTTCAAGTTTTTTTTTTAAAAAAAAGTCAGTTTTTTCTATATCCTAGCGATCATTACACTTGCGAAGCAAAGTGTATTAGTACAAACTTCCTTTTAGGGCACTTTGACAGCTTTTTGATAGCATGCGCTATGAGATTCCAATAGGTATAAGTTAACACAATTGGTGCAAACAAATCAAACGAAAAAAGTGATTTGTTTCAAACAACATATTAATAATGAGAACTCGATTTCAGAAAATTTCTAGCTCAATATATCGCAGTTTTTTTTGAAATGCGTAATTTATACATAATATAGCATTATGCTTTGCGATTTATTACATGCAAAGTTAATGAGGATGCCTTCAGTTTGTTATATTCCAAATTATTACTTACAAAATTGAGTCTGTTTGTAATTACAGCCACTTTTGCTGAATGACATTGGCAATTTATTAGCATATGTAGCTGTTTTATTCGTGACTAGTTTTTGTCGGTTGTTAAGCGTGAGACTCAAAGTCTCTTGATTGCATTAGGTCGGATATTCGAATCCTACACGTAGCCATGTTTTTGCTAATTCGAAGCTTATTTCTACTATTTCGTATTTCACGTGATAGAACCGCTTTTTGGTCGTGTTCACACAAATGTTTGCGAAGCGCAGCTTCGCCTCTGTGTAGACGATTATTATCTCTTTTTTTACTCTAATATTTTGTACTCTTATAATTTATTAAAGGAGGGCAAACTCCAATATCGAACAGCAAAAGTGTAAAAGTCACATAAAACGTGATCGACTTCTAGTTTCGAAATTTGAATTTAATTATCATATTTCCCAGCGAAATAAAAGTTTCATTTCTTGATCCAGTTTTCTCAAATTGGGTTAGATTTTACAAAAAAGTGTTCATCATTCTTCTACTAATTCAAAGAGCTTTAAGGTCATCTATTTTTTCTTCGAAATTCAAAAATGGAAGTTTTTTTGAAAAACCAGTCGATTTTTTGTTCAGTTTCCTTGCGTTGATTACTTTTTTCCAACTGTCAGTTGGTTTTTTTTTCTCTGAATTTCGAAAGTTGAGATTTTTTGAGCGAAGTCAATGTTTTTTTATGCTTACTTGCGTTCATTGCTCTTTTCCAATCTTCGATTAGCTATGTTTTAATTATACTAATGAAACGATGTAGATAATCACCGGTGATTTTCCGACGACCGAATCAAGAAAATGAAAAGTGACACTTAAAATTGTCCTTAAAGGTTTGGTTTTTCGCTGCTTGATTTTTGGTTTCTTTTCGATTTCAGTACATTTGCTTTGTTAAGAGGAAGGCAAGCTCCACAATCAAGTACAAAGGTCACGGATCGATTTCTAATTTTGAAAGTGAATTTTATTTTTCACATCTCCCAGTTGAATAAAAAATGTTTCTTTTTTCAGCTCATTTCTGGAAAAGGCAAACTCCACTATCGAAAAGCAGAAGTGTAAAGGCACGAAAAACGTGATCGATTTCTAGTTTCGATAGTGGATTTTAAGTATCGAATTTTCCAGTGAAGTTTTTTTTTCAAATTATTGATAGTTTTTTCAAATTGGGTTAGTTTTATCGAAAAAGTGTCAATCATAAATTTCTCTAGAAATTCAGTGAGCTTCAAGACCTTATTTTCTTTGAAATTCGAAAGTTCAAGTTTTTTTTTTTAAAAAAGTCAGTTTTTTCTATATCCTAGCGATCATTACACTTGCGAAGCAAAGTGTATTAGTACAAACTTCCTTTTAGGGCACTTTGACAGCTTTTTGATAGCATGCGCTATGAGATTCCAATAGGTATAAGTTAACACAATTGGTGCAAACAAATCAAACGAAAAAAGTGATTTGTTTCAAACAACATATTAATAATGAGAACTCGATTTCAGAAAATTTCTAGCTCAATATATCGCAGTTTTTTTTGAAATGCGTAATTTATACGTAATATAGCATTATGCTTTGCGATTTATTACATGCAAAGTTAATGAGGATGCCTTCAGTTTGTTATATTCCAAATTATTACTTACAAAATTGAGTCTGTTTGTAATTACAGCCACTTTTGCTGAATGACATTGGCAATTTATTAGCATATGTAGCTGTTTTATTCGTGACTAGTTTTTGTCGGTTGTTAAGCGTGAGACTCAAAGTCTCTTGATTGCATTAGGTCGGATATTCGAATCCTACACGTAGCCATGTTTTTGCTAATTCGAAGCTTATTTCTACTATTTCGTATTTCACGTGATAGAACCGCTTTTTGGTCGTGTTCACACAAATGTTTGCGAAGCGCAGCTTCGCCTCTGTGTAGACGATTATTATCTCTTTTTTTACTCTAATATTTTGTACTCTTATAATTTATTAAGGAGGGCAAAATCCAATATCGAACAGCAAAAGTGTAAAAGTCACATAAAACGTGATCGACTTCTAGTTTCGAAATTGGAATTTAATTATCATATTTCCCAGCGAAATAAAAGTTTCATTTCTTGATCCAGTTTTCTCAAATTGGGTTAGATTTTACAAAAAAGTGTTCATCATTCTTCTACTAATTCAA